AACGTGGATGGCACCACCTGTTCGAGGATGTCATGGTCATGGGCCATGCCATCCGCGTTGGCCCATGATGCTATGATGCTTTCAGGGAGTGTAGACTTTTAAGAACAGACAGACGTAGAGCTGCGGGTCGATGTTTCAATGTTTGATGAAAAACATATCCTTGCATGAAATGTTTTAAGGTTTAAGAACGATGGGAGAACATCATAACTTTAAACATAACCCTGCAATGGTTGGGAGATGCCTCATGTTGTCTTCTTCCTTGTCGTCCTAGTCAAGGAATGCCAAACTGGAAGAACTTATTTGTTCATGAACAAAGAGCAGAATCGTCTCCTCTCAAGACTCCGACTCACGCGCAAAATGCGCTTGCGTATCGTTGGTCGCCTCGCGCACTTCTAGCTGGCGAGGCTCAGCGGATACTTGCAGGATGTTTCCGATGATGTGGATGGGTCCTTGGAGGATGCCAACCATTTGACCGAGAAGCGCCTTGGGCGCCCACAGGTGGTTTCAACCGACTGATGCGAGGAGCTTGCGCTCGAGGTGTCTAGCCTTCCTGCTGATGGGTCAGTGCTTCCGTTGATTCTGTGTGTCTTAGTTCTGGTTGGCTTCAAGAGGAGTCTTTCATTGGTGTTGCAGGTGCACAGCAGTTGTATTTTTGAATACTTTAGATGTGTTCTCCGGTTTGGCCTGAAGTTCATGCTGGGGTCGAATGGCTTGTTGAACAGTTTTCTGAACCTTGATAGATCGCAAGACTTTGGGATGGTGACTCTATCCTTCGAGCTGTTGTTTGTCTCTTGTTTGTCTCTTAAGTGAATACACCATAGACTTTGGCAATCGGATTGCCCTTTCGCGATGCACATTTCAGGTGAAAGGATCTCCCCAAGGAAACAATTCAGTTCTTGAATCTTGAACCAGTGATACAGATATACAGAACATTGTCTATCAAACATATAACAGTGATACACAACATCACATATACACTGATATCAAATATATACACTGTATACACAAACTATAGTCGACTCACATATACATCGGCTCTTCTCATGAATCCTATGGAGAAGCACGCTTCCTAAGGTGTAATGAGCTGTCCAATGCTTATGATGCCGCACTGAACCGTGAACAGTCTTCACAGCGAAGAGTGGCCAAGGAGGGGAGGGACGACGGCGAAGCGAACATCGGTTTACCGGTTGACGCGGTGTAGACCGTTTGAGAAAGAGGGTTTCGTTGCAAGTGGTTTCGTGACCTGCGAAGTGACCCAGTTTCTTGCAATCCCTCGGTTTAGACCGCTTGAAGTCAGTTCCCACGACCGTTTGAGGAAGTTTAGACTGTTTGGTTGGCCCAGGTGGTAAGTGACTTCATCCACTGTACTTATCCTATCCCCTTGTCCTCACATTGTAGGGAATGGATGTCCAGAGAAATCACAGGATCCTGTACGTAATATGATAGTCCTTTGATCAGAATATGTTTGAATCCATGTTGTCATGAATCCAGGATCCAGACATCTTTTGAATATCCAGACATCCGGGGCCCATCCGGATTTAAACATGGATCGGATCATGGGTGTCCTCGGTGAAACGTTTCGGCCTCTCGGTCACCCATCTCCGGGTTCATCACCTCCGCGGCTCGGCTTTTCAGCGGTTAGCTTCCCCGCAGCGCAGGAAGCTGAGAGGATCGAACAGGTGAAGCAGAACCGCCATGCGCAGAAGTGCCTCGGTGGGTGCGAACCCGGACCGGACTGGTGGAGAGGTTGGCCTGGATGGAGAGAGACGGAAGGTGAAGAGGGCCGGGCCGTGGAGAGAGACGCCCTGACGGTCGGGGCGCCCCACAGTTCTGCCCGGAGATTGGGACGAAGAGGACCAGTGAGCTTGATACGCGAGCTTGTTCTCCATGTCAATTGGGAGTGACTGCGAGGAGTGAACAATGTGAGGTTTTTGTGCATTCGGAGGTTTGTTCGCGTGCAAAGAAAGGGGTGGCGGGAAAGTTTGCCCGTCAGGTCTTCATCGAATGGACCCATATTTACAGGTTTGATCAGTTGTATCCAGACCAAGCAATAGGTAGGGCCAGGGTTGTAGCTCCACCTTCTCATCCGCTTTAGACCACACGGGGTCTGACTTTCTCCAAGGCTCGGCTCCGGAAAGGACGACCTTGCAAAAGCCTCGGGGACGACCTCACCGTCGCCGTCGCCAGGCTGAACGACATTTTGTTCGTCCTCACGACTGCCACGGCTCTCTTCGCCCCGGTGCAGTTCCTGGCAGGACGGGGAACCGCGGAAAAACAACGTGCACCTCAGCAACGAAATGCCCACAGCAACGAGTGTTGCCACAGGAAGTGAGAGCGGGGTTGCAGAAAAGGTCCAAAAGCATTGGAAAGCAAGAAAGCCAGCCAGTAGCGCTGGGTAAATAAACATGTCATATTGCAATTGAAGTATAGCAATTGCTGTATTGTTTTCTTGTTCATCAGTATCATGAGACATCATGAGTATGTTTTCAGCTGAAAGCTTGGTTTCAGAGCAGAGTGTTAGACGAGTAAGACTGAGTCACCTTCTGACACTGGAAGCAAATCACAGAGTCACCCGTTTGCCTCACTTCGGGTGCAGAGTGTGAAGTCGGTCTCGGTGGTGTTCTTCAGCTTTTTCCCTGCGAGTAACAGCGAAAACACGTCTGCGGGATGTCCATGGATGTCCATGTCGCGCCTGTCCATAGACTCTCCACTCTCCCAAGGAGTCTATGGCATGAACTTTGCCATTGATGGGGATCCTACTATGCCCGAGCTGAAATGGGAGTATGGAGACTTGGGAGCTGCAAAACCCAATAGACAGCCGATGTGTCAAGTTTCCAGAAAAGGACGCTGTCAGGTCCCCCACAATACACGTTTCTGGAAATACATTGAATTATAAACATGCGTTGTATTGCATTGTATTATCACTATATACAGCTACGAGAGAGTAATGTTTTTATATACTCATGACATTAGCATATTTCAATAAGACCTGTAACAATCATATAATCCTATGTATGGGTTCAAAAATGCTGAACTCCACCTATTTTGGGGGACCTGGTGGCGTCCCACTCTCCAAGTTTCAATATTCTCGCGAGAACAAACAAAAGAACACATGTTCTCGCTATACATGTTCAGGTGGTTTGGCTGGTTTGAGTATACATGTTGTATTGTGTCCTGCTGGCCAAAAGTGTGTACTAGTAGCTGCCACATCTTCGCTCAGCATTTGCCATCGGCGGCGACCGCGGTGGTGTTCACGTTCATCAACTCACGAGGCATTTCCAACGGTGACAGATTCCAACTCAGGATACTTGTATTTCTGGATCGTGGTGATTGCCTACCTCATTGCCAGTGGAACCCTGGCGGTGCGGCTCTTTCGGACATTGAGGCGAGTTTCGGACGGCGAGTTGCAGGAGTGAATCGGTAATTACTGAGTGCACTTGGCTCTGAGAAGTCGATCATCAGTTTCCAGAAGTCTCTACGTTCAACACGTCTCGGGGGGACCCTTTTTTCGTTCTTTTTGTTTCTATCCGGATGCAGCTTTTTCTTCACAATCCTGGTTTGGAGCCAAGGGATCCCAGCGGCACATCCCAAAGTGCTTTGGTCCTTGCAATCGGCGAAATCGATGGTCCTATTGAAAGAGTAGATCCCATCAAATCCATTCAAATCCTGGTTGAAATCCCATTGTGGTCATTGTATTACTTAAGCTCTCTGAAGTCCTACTGTTTATTGCTATGAATAACACGCTTTGAAGGGGAACGCATTCATTGTTCCCTGTTTCTCAGTTGACATGTGGCGGGTCCAGGATCAAGCAAGATGCTGGCCACTTGCTCAGGACGGGGTGCTTTAATTAAGAGGAAAGAGCGCTGCAGCGTCTATCATTCCTCGTGGAATTGTAATTATAATAGTGGGACATAGAACAGGTAATAAGGTTGGATTTGTCCATATAACCCGTTCCTGCAAACATAATGTCGCATGTCATTTCCGTAACATGTACATTGTATCAGAAACTGTGGCATTTCATGACAGAACCAGCAGTGACCAGCGACATGAAAGTGGCGACCCGAGCTCTCCCTGAGGAACCGGCAAGGTACATTCTCCACCCTGGCTGCGCAGAGCTTACTGTTTCTGAATGTTCATTGTTGTGCAGAATGCTGCGCAGTAAGGAGCATGGAGCATTCAGAGCATTCATACTGCACTAAGGGCGACAGTCCGCGCATATTGGAAGGTGCAACGCCTGTACAGGATGATGGAAGTTCCAGCCCTTACCATCCTTTAACTGGATAAATTCCAAACCCCGAGTCCCGTGGCACCCCCCACCCATTGCTGCATCGCCCTGCGTCCCGCGACCGACCGCCAGCGACCGCCCCCGAGTCCCGTGATCAGAGCGACCCGACCGCAGCGAGACTCCGCTCAGTGGGGCTTCCGAGTCGACTCGGCTCAAGAAGGGACCGAAGCAAATGACGTGAAAATGGAGCTGGGGGCGAGTGAGATCGAGTGAGGCTTGTGACCATCCCTAGGGTATCGCGGAGCTCCCAGACAGGGGACTGCGGGGACTGGTCAGCCCAGTCAGGGTTCCCCAGTCAACCACCCCTGGACTGATGGGCATATATGGCAGTCACTATGGAGTGAGCTTGTGAAGTCTGACATTTCACCAACACAGTCACGGTCGGGGCTCACCAACACAGTCACACCATGACCACGTGGATTCGATTCGAAGGGTTGTTGTGGTTTCATTCGACTATATCGATGGCAGGTTGGGACTGTCTCCAAACGTTAACACACTTACACACGACTTTACATAAAAAAATATTGTACAGTTCCTTCATGGGATCCTAAGAAAGTCTCAGTTCCTGATTTGGGATCCCCAGCTCCTCAGTGATATTCTGCCCTGTCTCTTGTAAACCGCCTGGCTGCCACTCGCCGCGGAAGACTTCCGCTCCGTCACCAACTCCGCCGGAACTCCGCTCCTGTTTGTGCTCTCCGTACTTGGGTAGTGGCAGGTGTGTCGGACCTGGAGCCTTGGTTAGCCAGCTTGGCCGCTGAGCTGGTGGGACGCCTGCGGGAGGAGCTGGGAGGGATCTCGCTGTCGAGCGCTCAAATCCAGTGACCGGCCCTTTTTGGGCCTAGCAGGGTGAAATACGGATGTGATATGATAAGCAGATATGAACAGCAGTGGTGAACGGTTTTTCAATTGTTCGACCTCTTTTGGGAGCCCCGCATAGCCCCGACATCCCAGGCACTGGGGTGTTTTCTCAACTCTTGGAGGTGGGGGTTGGATCTAAACGCGTTGTGTAACAAGCAGCGGGGGGAGACTGCAAGACTGGCGGACTGGACCAGTCGACGACACCCAGTTCACATCGAACTGAGGGATGGTTCATGATGTGGACTCTTTCGATCTATTGTAGACTCTTGATGAATAATCCTCCCATATTGAAGAGGTGTTTCAGTCCAAATGGAGTGGGTTTATGAATCAAGAGTCTACATGAATGTTGGATGCTGATTAGTAACAGGGCCCTCTATAATGCTAAAATTTTGAAAAATAGATATTGACACCATGTTTGTTTTAAGGGTTCTCTATTGTGCTAAATTTGTTGGGGAACCTAATTGTTTATTACAATCTGAAAAATGAGAGTTTCGAACCCAGCAGAGATCCGCGAATACTACTAAGCCAGTGGCTGGCTTGCTGAGAGTATTATTGGTAATCATAGGTTTCTGTAGTTCTTCAAAACTCACAGCTTCCTAAAGCCATCAATTCCTTAATAGATCCTTTATATAAAGATAGCTCCTAAACAGTTTTTCAAGGCAGTAGACCAGGAAGGCCCCTGAGCCTCAATAGTAAATTTGTTTTAAGGGTTCTCAATTGTGCACAGTTGTTTCATCAGAAAACACTAAATCTTAATACCACTGAGCCAATGGCTGGCTGGCTGAGAACATCATTGGTAATCATAGTTTTCTTTTGTTCTTCAAAACTCGCAGCTTCCCAAAGCCTTCAATTCCTTAATCAAACCTGTATACAAAGTGTGTTCCTAAACAAACTTTAGAGGTAGTAGACCAGGAAGGCTCCTGATCATCAATAGTAAGTTTGTTTTAAGGGTTCTCAGTTGTGCAACGGTTTTTTCATCAGAGGACATATATACAAACAAATGTCAATACTACTAAGCCAGTGGCTGGCTTGCTG